AACTAATCAAGGAGGGAATCAACTTAGAACTAAGGAGAAATTTCCTGACAGTTAGAACGATGAATCAGTGGATCAACTAGCCTCCAGAAGCTGTGAATGCCCCAAAAATGGAAGCCTTTAAGAAGATGTTGGATAACCATTTGTCTGAAGGGGGTTGGACTAAAAGACCTTCAAGGTCCCTTCCAATTCTGTTCTATTCAATTCTATTTTTAATTAGCGACAGCCCCAGACATAACCCCAGAATAGCTTTGAAGAGCATTTCAAATGAGCTTAGTAAAATCCCCCTAGTCAATTTCTTGTCACACTTTCATCAGATTAAGAGGTAAGCCCTCTTCTTCTTCTTCTGCTTCCCATGTCTTCATGCCAGATCTTTCATATTGTTCCCAAGTCAACTGAAAGAAATTATGGGAAAAGGTTCAGGATTGCGTCTGCCTATCAGTCTTCAGGATAACCTTCCCAAACTGAACAGAACACAACCATATTTGCAGTTGGGGGGGGGGGGAGGGAAGGCAGCAAAAAGAAAAATGGGCTGAATCCGGCTTATGACAAAATCCATTTTGATGGGAGTGCTGTCTTTCAAGTCCTCTTACCTCCTGGCCACATGACCCAGTATGGAATATATAATCCCACATTGTGCTTCCCCAACAGAACATACACACCTAGTCCCAAAACACAGAATAGAAATGCACACATACATAGATGCAATCCTTCGTTACCCAGAAGAGTATACTAGAGGCCTAACCATTGTTGGCAAAAGGTTTGGGAAGGCTTGGAAAAGCCCAGTTTTACAAGTTTGCTACTCATTCCAAGTCAATAGAATATGGAAGGACTCAAGATTCTGTTTGTCTATCACTGTTGTGGCCCGCCAGCAGCCAGCAGAGCTGGGAGCAGATTCAGACAGTGAGGAGGTTGGGGAGGAACATGGGCCAGTCCTGGAGTTTGGGGAAGGCTCTGACGAGGGCTCTAATGATTAGTGCTAAGAGGCAGAGATGGGGCCACGGCCGTCTGACAGTTATCAGCTGCCTTCAGAATCAGACATCAGTGAGGCAGATGAACAGCTGGTGCCTGTTCCCAGTGTGCGCATGCACAGAGTGGCCAGATGAAGGGAACAGCTAAGGACCAAGGGTCGACTTGGGAGTAAGGCCACAGGTGGATGGTGAATGGCCCCTCCCAGAGGAAATAAAAGAGGAGCCACAGGGGAGTGGAGTTTGCAGGAGACAATTCATTCCTGCATTCTTGCCAAGCATTGCGGTGTCTGAAAGACGTGGCACGACAAAACCGCGCTCGACTAAGCCACGCCTGATTAAACCGCGTCGCTGACATCATCAACAGTGAGCGCGGAGAAAGAAGGGCGCTTTAAATAGCGCTTTGAAAGCAAGCCGATTCAACTTAAGGTAAGGATTAGGTTTAGGGTTAGCTTTAGGGTTANCGGGGGGAGGGAGCTGGAACCGGTTCTAAACGGCACTGTAGATTTGTGGAACCTCTTCTATAGAAGAGGTTAGAACTGGCAGGAACCCACCCCTACCCTGCATGGGTATGCACCCCCCACTCCACACACATGCGTGAGCATCCCCCACATGTGCCTTCCCCCCATGTGGTCATTTTTGCCACCCCAGCCTCCAGGAGCACTCTACAAGCCTCCTAAAGGCTATGCATGCCCTTTTGGGGGGGCAAAAAACAGGCCGGTTTTCACAAAAAAATGCGCCATTTTTTGCTCATTTTTGCCCATTCCCCCCCCCTCCAGCCCTCAGAAGCACTTTGCAGGCCTCTCAAACTCTCTGCATGCCCCATTTTTCACAAAAAATGAGGTGTGCAGAGGGTTTGGGAGGTCTGCAGAGTGCGAAACCCTTTTAAAAAAAACCCCTCTTCAAAATCTTGGTGCGTCTTATACTCTGAAAAATACGATATTTTTCTTTTATTCTATTGCCATAAAAAAACACAGATTAAAGTGGGTGGAGGAACAATCAGTGGAAGACTGAATGCAGTTACAGTGAAAGATCCTGGGTTCAAGTCCCCCTTCCCCCTATTAAGGATTCAAGGCCGACGTCTTTGATCTGAAAGATAGTTAGGAAAAATGGAGGGGAATCACTGAACTAAGGACATACTGGTGGGTCTGCTTTCAAACATTCTCCATGTAAATGGAGCAAGTTGCTGTTAAATGAGACAGTGAACTGAAGGGCCTGGATTTGCCCTTTGCCCTTTGCCTTTCGCAGTGACGCCTGGTATATGGGAGCCTCTGCGGCTCCTGGTCACAGATGCCCCACTGAGCTAACCAGGCCACCTGATTTGATTCATTTAAGGCAGTGTTTCTCAACCTTGGCAACTTGAAGATGTCCGTACTTCAACTCCCAGAATTCCCCAGCCAGCGGATGCTGGCTGGGGAATTTTGGGAGTTGAAGTCCGGACATCTTCAACGTTGCCAAGGTTGAGAAACACTGATTTAAGGCAATTCATTTGCGTCGGTTCCCTTCCTGAAGTCCTCTTCTCTCTCGACAGATTTGCATAACGCAACAAATCTACGCTCCCGGTCCTTGTCTGGAACTGGACGCTCCCTGGTGGGTTCTTGGCTGAAGTTGAACCGAACGGATGAAAACTTCCTCCTCTATGCACACTTAACCTACGTCACGCTGCCGTTGCATCGGATTTTAACTGGTAAGGCTGCTCGGCTTTTCAATTCCTACCTGCTTAAAATTCCTTAGGTGTGTTATCTCCTGGCATGAATAAAGAGGGTGGAACAATGGGGCTTGTCCTCTGCTTAACCACCAATGGGTTTGATAACCCCATCTCTTCACCTTTCCTTCTTTCCTTCCCCTCCCTCCCTCCTTCCTCCCCTTCCCTCCTTCCTCCCCTCCTTCTCTTTCCACTCTTCCTCCTCCCTTCCTCTGGCCCATTTTTTTCTTCCCTCCCTCTCTCCTTCCCTTCCTTCCCTTCTCTACCTTTTTCTCTTCCTTCCTTCCCTCCCTCCCTCCTTCCCTCTCTCCCTCCCTCCTTCCTCCCCTTCCCTCCTTCTCTTTCCACCCTTCCTCCCTTTCCGTCCCCTGGCCCATTCTTTCCTTCCCTCCCTCTTTCCTTCCCTTCTCTCCCTCCTTCTCTTCCTTCCTTCCTTCCCTGCCTCCCCCCTCCTTCCTCCCCTTCCCTCATTCATTCCTTCCCTCCTCCTCTTTCCACCCTTCCTCCTCCCTTCCCCTGGCCCATTCTTTCCTTCCCTCCCTCTCTCCTTCCCTTCCTTCCCTTCTCTCCCTCCTTCTCTTCCTTCCCTGCCTCCCTCCTCCCCTTCCCTCATTCCTTCCTTCCCTCCCTCCTCTTCTTTCCACCCTTCCTCCTCTCCGCCTCCTTCCTCCCTTTCCTTCCCCTGGCCCATTTCTTCCCTCCCTCCTCCCTCCTTCCTTCCTCCCTCTCTTCCAAATCTCAATGCAGATTCTTAAATTTTCTGCAAATTCTGCAATGTCCATGTGGACATTGAGAAAATCCAATCCCTGGTACCCATTGCTCTTTCACCTGACATCTTTCACCTTCAGATATTGGCATGTTTCTACAAATGTGAGTGCCTGCACAACTTGGTCTTCCTACGAGTCAGAAACGCTGTTGGGAACACCTTCAGATATTTCCAGAAAATGGTGCCTTAACAAGGATTCCCAATGGGCTTTCTGAAGTCCTAGCAATCCCATTCCTCCTCTCGGATAGAGAATCATGGGCCCATGCTGCACTCCTATTATCTTGCGTCCACATGGCAATGCCATGGAATAAAAGAGCAGTGGGGACTTGGGTGGGGAATGAAGAAGGCTCGGAAGATGAGGAAATTTTAGTAGGGAAGCTGCAGAAGAATGAAATTCTGCCGATGTGCCGGTGTAACGGGATTCTGAAGGACAGGAGAAGAGCAGTTATCAGGGGCCAAATAAGAAGGACCTGAGCCCAGGCCAAGAAAGTAACTTGAGAAAATGTTTCAGACAACCCCCTCCTTAGTTGACATGAAAGTAAAGGGGAGCAGAAGACTAGAAAGATTCTATTATTATAGCTATTATAATAAAAATAATCTGGAGCTATTTGGCATTGGTTTTTTTTAACCTGATCTGCCTTGTTGAACTGTCAATCTGGTTGTGGCCCAGATCCAAATCAGGGCTAATGTGTAAGTAAAAAAAGATGTGAAGAGGCAGCTGCACAACCAGATTTTTAGAGTGTTGTACAGATTGCCCTGGATTAGTTGAAATCAAGATAAACAATTAGATGCAGATCAAATATTAAAGGGGACTTAAAGAATAATTCACTTAGCCTTGACACAATACTAGATGTTTCCGATTTGGAAGTTAAACGTTCCATTTTACCTCTTTTTAATAAGGTATTTCAGAAGTATAATCTCCACATTTCAAATCTTTTGTCAGGCCCCCCAAAAGCCAAGAACAATGTGTGGATAATTTATGAGAGATATTCTTTATCGTTGTTTGTCTACAGACAGAATCTTGCCAGACTAAAGCAACTATCTGCAATAACTATAGAAACACTCTAAGGGGCCTTGTCCTCTTCCATACATTCCAAGCTCTACTGTCTCTTTGCTCTCAGAGAGACAGCCCCTCCCTTCTGTGAATCCAGACTACATTCCACCACACTGTTGCTCATAAAGGCCTCATTAATGGTCTCCACGCCTCTGCAAGTAAATGAAGTCACATATCCATATACAGGTTATTTCTAGGTAATAGAAGAGATCAATTTGGAACCTCCCCATTGTGGTCCACCAACGGCCAGCAGAGCTGGCAGTAGATTTGGACAGATGGGGAGGAACATGGGCCAGTCCTGGATTCTGGGGAAGGCTCTGATGAGGGCTCTGTGTCTGAGGGAGAAAGGGGGCCAGAGCTGTATGCCACTTATCAGCTGCTTTCAGCGTCAGACATTGGTGAGGCAGCTGGAACTTGTTCCCAGTGTGTGCATGCACAGAGTTGCCAGATGCAGGGAACAGCTAAAGAACAGGGGTTGACTTGGGAGTAAGGCCACAGGTGGATGATGAATGGCCCCTCCCAGCAGTGGTGAAATTCAAATTTTTTTATTACCGGTTCTGTGGCCATGGCTTTGTGGGCGTGGCAAGGGAAGAATACTGCAAAATCTCCATTCCCACCCCACTCTGGGGCCAGCCAGAGGTGGTATTTGCCGGTTCTCTGAACTGCTCAAAATTTCCGCTACCGGTTCTCCTGTCAGAACCTNGGTTTCGTCGAGCGCGCTTTAGTCGAACGCGGTTTTGTGGTGGAACCTCTGAAAGATATCGGCCTGGCTACTCTCCAAGCCTGAAGAAGGTCGGTAATGGTGAACTATCTTGAAAGACTGTGGGAGAGGAAAGACTTTTGCTGGAGAGGAATTCACTGTAAATTAAATAAAAGGGTTTTCTCGGGATGAGGACTCGGCTGGGGAAGCCTAGGTCATAACAGTCTCTAGGATTACTCTTTGAAAATAGAACAGGACTCACTTTAGTATAATTGGAGAACATGGCATAAGGATTGAGTTGAAAATGTGGGGACTCCCTCTGGGGTCTTCAGAGAACGTTTTCCCCAATTTCTTCCTTTATATACTTACGGAAAAAGCAGGTGGACAGGGGTTCCAGATGTTAGCAAGTCCTCCTTTAAAGCTGAGGATGGGAAGAATGCCAGAAGATATAACCCGAAGGGTAACATTACCTTGTCCACTTGATCGATCCATGGAAGATCCAGGGTTTACAATCAACTTAGCATTTCCTTCTGCTGCTAACACTCGTAGCTGAACGTCCTACTATGTGTATATCGCAAGCTATATCATATTTTCCAAATGGTGTTTTCCAGCAAGTCTTTGCATCTCCAAGTAAACACCCCATGGACAGCAAGGGCGAGGAATCGAAGATTAGCTATCCAAACATATTTTTTATGATTGACAACTTTGAAGAGGTAGGTCCTCTCTCCTTAGAGTAGGTCCCTTGTGTAGAAGAATGTAGAAGTTTGGGGAGTATGTGTAATTATAAAAATTAACTTCATGTCTAAAAAAAATTAATCGCATGTCGAGATTAACTGAATGTGGAAATTTTTGAAATCATGGGGATTCCAAAAATAGCTTTATAACACATCCAATGATTGGGTTTTTCCTAACATAAGATAGAGATACTCAATTTTTCATGATTTCTACAACACATCAAAATTTCCAGATAAGATATAAATTACTGAAACATCTTTATGTCAGTTTATAATTTATGACTTGAGTTGTATTGGCAACAGTTGTTAATTATGAGGTTGTAAACTAACATTTAATATAGACTTAAAATTACAGAATGATATAAGATAATGTAATATGGAAAATTTATTTTATACCATTGTTATTTTGAAATTTTACAACCAATTTTGTAAAGGTTATTTATCTTTTTCTCCTTTTTTCTGCTTATTTTTTCCCCTAGTTGTATTTGCAGAATAATAAGAAATAAGTATTTTCTTTAATGGTGCAACTACTGCTGTTCATGTCATAGATATGTAGCTCTGCTTGCTTAGAATTCAAATTTACCATTGTAAATTGGCAGAAAACATTGCTACGTAAAGTTATGCAGTTTGCAGTTTGATCGAATATTACCCCAAAGCCTTATTTTTTATTTTTATTTAAAAAAACAACCCTAAATTTTTGTACTGCATCACAAAACTGCTGGTTTTAGAGGCTTGGAAAAATGGTGTAAAGATACATGAAATATCCTTTTTATCACTAGTATTAATTATGATTCTGAATTTGCCTTTTCACACTGTTTCATTTATCTAAATCAGCGCTTCTCAACCCTGGTAATTTTAAAATGTTTGGGCTTCCACTCCCAAAATTCCCCAGCCAGGTAGAATGACTGGGGAATTCTGGGAATTGAAGTCCAATCAGATTAAAATGATCAAGGTTGAAAAACATTGATCTAAATCACCTTTGGTGGTTTAAATTGCAGTCAGTTATAGGAAATTGGGGCTTAGGGATGTTTTTTTCCATAATAAAATTACTTTTTAAAAAAAATGGTTAGAAGATTCAGTGTGCCCCCAGACCTTTTGATGAGAATAGACTTTCCTGGTATAGACTCCTGCACTGCTATTAAATATCTCAGTGTGTCATCTGTGACTTAGCCATAGACAATGACAAATGGCCTTGAGTGTCTCTACAGCTATTTATTTTTCTCTCTGCTTTATTTGGATGTCTCATTAGGTATTTAGTGACATGACTGTAGGGGAAGGCGAGATGGTTTGCGTGGAGCTGGTGGCCAGTGACAAAAGTAACACTTTCCAAGACGTTATTTTCCAGGGATCCATCCGCTATGAGGCCCTCAAGAAGGTCTACGATAATAGGGTGAGTGTCCTTCAGATGGTGAGGTTGTCTCTTAGACCAGGGGTCAGCAACCTGCAGCTCTGGAGCTGCATGTGGCTCTTTAATCCTGCTGCTGTGGCTCCCTGGATTAGCATTAACTTAACAAGAGATAAAATAAGGGATAGGCTCGTAAGTTTAATTATTATTGCACAAAATATTTGCACCCAGATGACACACTGTTTAACGAAAGATGGTATGTTTGTATTAAAATAAAATAAAATAAAAAACTTTAAGAAAATAGAACTAAGGAGAAATTTCCTGACAGTTAGAACAATTAATCATTGGAACAACTTTCCTCCAGAGATCGGACAATCATTTGTCTGAAATAGTATAGGGTTTCCTGCCTGAGCAGGAGGTCAGGCTAGAAGATCTCCAAGGTACCTTCCAACTCTGCTATTCTGTTATAAATTTCTCTTAACCCTACTTTCTGGAGCCTTACCACAATTAGAGAACAGTGGTAGGTCTAATCAAGAAATCATCCACAAGGATGATTGAATGTGAGAAAACTTGCTGATTAAGGTTGGAGAGTGGATCCTATCTTTCTTTTAAGACATTATGTCCCGTAATGGTAACAAAGGCAGATCCAACGCCCAACTCACAGAAAATAGCTATAGCATTTAGACTTAACATATTTTTCAGAGTATAAGACGCACCCTTTTCCCTCAAAAAAGAGGGTGAAAATCTGGGTGCATCTTATACACTGGATATAGCATTTTGGCCTCCCGAAACCTCGCCCCCTTTGCAAAAATGGACATGCGTAAACTTTAGGAGGCTTACAGAGTGCTCCTGGGGAGTGGGGAGGGCAAAAATGAGTGAAGAACAAGCCATTTTTTGCTTGTTTTTGCCCCCCGCCCCCAGGAGCACTCTATAAGCCTCCTAAAGGCTATGCATGCCCTTTTTTGATGAAAAATGGGACATTTTGGGGAAGTCTGCAGAGTGCAAAAGGTTTTTTTTTAATTTGCCTCTTCAAAATCATGGTGCATCTTATACTCCGATGCGTCTTATACTCTGAAAAATACAGTATATACTCCTTTGCAGTGCTTTTTACAGCCCTCTCTAAGCAGTTTACAGAGTCAGCATATTGCCTCCAACAATCTGGGGCCTCATTTTACGCATCTCGGAAGGATGGAAGGCTGAGTCAACCTTGAGCCTGGTGAGATTCGAACTGCCAAATTGCCAGGCAGCTGGCAGTCAGCAGAAGTAGTCTGCAGTACTGCATTCTAACCACTGCCCCACCACGGAAAAGTTGAATTGAAAGAGGTTCATGCCAGTTCATGTCGATGATGCAAGGGCTTGAATTTTGACTCCCCTTTGCAGGTGAGCGTGGCAGCGAAAATGGCACAGAGAATGTCCTTTGGTTTTTATAAATACAATAATATGGAGTTTGTGCGTATGAAGGGGCCTCAGGCCAAAGGACATGCGGAAATGGCAGTGGGTCGCGTTTCCACAGGTGACACGTCTCCTTACGGTACAGAAGAAGATTCGAACCCAGGCTCACCGCTGCATGAGCGAGTAAGTTAACTCTGTTAACGGCATTCTCTGCTTTCTCTCCTTTCATGATAAAGTATGTTATTGGAGACAGTGCACCCGTGTTGTGTCACAAAGGTCTTTGCCATTTGTTGCCATTTTTGTTGGCCTTGAGCAGGGGTGTCAAACTGGCAGCCCATGGGCCGAATGCAGAGGTGGTATTCAGCAGGTTCTGACCAGTTCTGGAGAACCGGTAGCGGGAATTTTGAGTAGTTCAGAGAACCGGCAAATACCACCTCTGGCTGGCCTCGCCCCCATCTATTCTCTGCCTCCCGAGTCCCAGCTGATTGGGAGAGGATGGGGATTTTGCAGTATCCTTCCCCTGCCATGCCCACCAAGCCACACACACAGAACCGGTAGTAAAAAAATTTGAATCCACCACTGGCCGGATGTGTCACATGCAGGCCATGCCCACCCGAGCTCCAGAAATGGGGAAAATGTCACGAAACATCATGTGACACCAGTGTGACGTGGCAAGTTCTCAGAATAGTGGAAACCGATGGCTTGGCTTTATGACCGGCAATTTTAGGATGCCATTCAGCTCCGACAGCTTGCCAGAGTCAACTACGGTTGATAAGACGGCCAAGAGGTCATTTCTGAGTTAAACACCTGAATATTTTAGGGAACCTTGTCAAACAGAGTCAGGGGATGGATCAGTGTTCATAAATGAAAGTTGGTCTATGTAGGCTTATTCCAAACACACCCAAAGGTACAGTGTAAGCCACCTTGAATGATTGAATGAACCATTCAAATAAGTCAATAATAATAACAACAACAACAAAAATGAGTTGTTTTTTTAAATCCACTGGTCTGCAATTAGAGCACAATGCAGGTAGCCCTTGACTTACGACCACAATTGAGCCCAACATTTCTGTTGCTAAGTGAGTCATTTCTTAAGTGAGTTTTGCCCCATTTTTCAAACTTTCCTTGGCAGTGAATCACTGCGGTTGTTAACTTAGTAACACGGTTGTTAAGTGAATCTTGCTTCACTTAAGTGAATTTGCTTGTCGGAAGGTTGCAAAAGGGGACCACATAACTCCAGGACACTGCAGCCGTTGTAAGTGTGAGTTGCTTGTCAGAAGGTTGCAAAAGGGGACCACCTAACCCCGGGGCACTGCAGCCGTTGTAAGTGTGAGTCAGTTGTCAAGCTTCTGAATTTTGATCACATAACCATGGGGATGTTGCAATGAGAATATAACTACTGAACAAAATTCCGCATTGGTGACAGGAAGGGCATCTGGCCATTAAACACTCTGCTAGATCCATTCAGTTGCCCAAACTCCACCCTGCAATAGATTATGGGGTCATTAAAAGATCATGATGATGATGACGACGACGACGATGATGACCATGGGGATGCTTGCAATGGTCATAAGCGTGAAAAATGGTCTTAAGTCGCTTTTTTCAGTGCTGTTGTAACTTTGAATGACCACTGAATGTGCTGTTGTTATTCGAGGGCGACCAGTGCTGGATACTATCAAAGACAATCAATATAAATCCCAGTTGCTTCTCACCTGTGGCTGTTTTGTCTCCCCTTCTAAGGTCACATCCTTCAGCACCCCTCCAACGCCAGAACGCAACAGCCGCCCTTCCTTTTTCTCCCCGTCCCTCAAGAGGAAGGTGACCCGAAATCGAATCGCGGAGATGAAGAAATCCCACTCAGCCAACGACAGCGAGGAATTCTTTCGGGACGATGAAGATGGAGGTGCGAGAATTGGGGAGAACCCTTTGGTTGAACTTGGGGTGGGCGCCACCCTTTCTTTGGCACTGTGCTAAAGGCCAGTGAGTCAGGAAGGAGGGAAGGAGATGAAGGGGTGGGCAGATGTTTCTGCCTTTTCTGTATCTTGCTTTTGTGGGAAGGTGTTCTGACCCAGGCTTCCTTAGAAAGCAAGAAGCAGAGTTTTGGTCCTGGAAAAAGTCCTTTTATTTGCACGACTGTGAATTCCTTTCATTCACAGTGCGCAAGGCTTAGCAAACAGTCTTTCAGAGGAATGTTTATCAACACGAACCTTATCTCATTTGGAGAGCTTGTTAGGTAAGCTCTGTTTAGCAGATATATTCTTATTGCAACATCCCCATGCTGATGTGATCAAGCTTGTTAGGTAAGCGAGTACGTTCAGAGAAGCGTTGTGAGAGTGTTGTTGGAGAACACACAAACCATCATACAAAGACACTGCAGTTTAAATAGGCTTTTACTTTC